TTTCTCTCTCATCAACGTTTCTAACTCTCTATCCCTCTCAATTCCTCTCTGTGTAAAATCAAGAAAATATATTTAAAAAATAAAGAGGGAAGTGAGAGCTGGGAGGGCCTGTTACAAACAGAATCCATTGGGGGAAACTGGCAGTTCAGCTTTTCATTGGCTGAGTTGTGACAATCTCTCATTGGCTGGGCTGTTGCCAGGCAAATCTTCCTCCTGCTAGGATAGTCAAATAGAAAACATCTTTCTATTGGGGATGCAAGGTTTGTCTTTTCCTATTTGGGGTAATTGAGGATGAGAGCTGTAATTCCAACTTTAATTGAGGTTTCTTTTATTAATTTTCAGAGCATCAGCCCCCCCTTTTTCTGATCCTTATTGGCTGAACTTGGATTTACAATTACTGATAGGAGCCAAAAGCATTGTTTTATGTAGCAAGTGTCCCAAAAACACCAGCTTATTATTACTCTCAGTTGAATGCAGTTGGAGGCTTTTGAAGATCAGGCCTCCACAAAGAGAAGATTTACACATAACACATGGGCGTGGAAACATCCCCATCGACAAGTCACTGACCTGGGATTCTCAGCTTCCTCATCAGCAGGTTAAGAGTGCAGAGAGTAGCTCAATCTGGTTTGGCTCAGTAGATAGAGCGTTGTCCTGAGGACCAAAAGGTCTCGGGTTCCATTCCAGGCAAAGGCATGTACCTTGGTTGCGAGCACATCCCCAGTAGGAGGTATGCAAGAGGCAACTGACCGATGTTTCTCTCTCATCGATGTTTCTAGCTCTTTATCCCTCTCCCTTCCTCTCTGTAAAAAATCAGTAAAATATATATATTTCTTAAAAAGTTCGGAGAGCAGCCGGGACCGGTTTGGCTCAATAGATAGAGTCCCGGGTTCGATTCCAGTCAAGGGCATATACCTTGGTTGCGGGCATATCCCCAGTAGGAGGTGTGCAAGCTGATCGATGACTCTCTATCATCGATGTTTCTAACTCTCTATCTCTCTCCCTTCCTCTTTGTACAAAATCAATAAAATATATTTTTTTTTAAAAATTTTTTAAAAATTTAAAAAAATAAAAAAATAAAAGTTCGGAGAGCAGACTCCCCATACGAAGTCTCCTTCTAACTGGGAACGTCATGTGACCCTGGGATTCGATGAGCACTGCTGTTAGAGACTGAATGCTTGATGCCACACCCCAGAGCCCTACCCCCCCCGCCCCCCCCCCCCAGCCCCTGCCTTCCCGAAACCCACAGGCCAAGGTGCCACTGACAGGCCAGGAAGTCATTAACCCCACTCATAACAAACACAGGACAGTCCTGGGCGTGGGGCACGATCATAGGTAACCGGGGAAGCGTTAATCTGGAAACTAACTCCAAGGCACTTGAGCTGAGGCTCATCACACGTTTCCTGTGTTTATTGTTAATGAGACCTGATTACGAAAGGGCTGAGGATTCGAGGGACTTGAAAAGAGTGGAAGCTGCTGGAGATGGGGGGGGGGGGGGGGGGGGGAGACCAGTGCACAGCCAGAGCACTAATGGGGCCTCCAGCGGGGACAGCTCCCAGTCAGCCCCAAAGCGGCCTTTCCACCTGCACTTCCGGCCTCGGGAGCTTCCTGGGGGCCCTCATGGGGTGTCGTTGGGTTCTGCAGTTTCAGCAGCCAGCACCCCAGGAAAGCGGAGGATGGGGGGGTGGGGAGGTGAAGGGGGGAGGACAATGGGGGGGCAGTCTGATGAGGGCCTGGGCAGCGCCTTGGGCGGGTGCCTCCATGGGGTCTCCGCGGCAGCAGGCGGCGATGCCCCAAGGGGCTGCGGGGTGTGGGGAGGGACAGGAGGGCAGTGAGAGCCCCCTGGACACATGGGGCGGGGCGAACACCGCACTCTCAGTGGGGTCTGCCATGCGGAGTGGCCTGTGAGTTGGCGGCCTCACCCCGTCCTCTCCCCACCCCCCTCCACCCCCATCCCCCTCCCCCCTCCACGCCCCTCCTCCCCTCCACCCCTCCCCCCTTCGCCTCCCACCTCCCCTCCACCCCCCACATCCCCCCAGGCCGAGGGCGCAGGTCCCGGTGCGCCCTGGACCGCAGGCGGCGGTGCAGCGGCCGCGGGCCGGGCAGGCGGATGGCGCGGGCGCGGAGGCTCCTGGCGCGCAGAGACCACGGGCGGAGGCTGGGTGAGCTGTGCGCAGGGCGTGGCGGGGTCTGGGTGGGTGGGATCAGGGTCTAGATCAGGGTCAGGGTATGGGTCTGCGTCAGGGTCAGGGTCAGGGCCTCGGTCAGAGCTGCACGTGGGCCGGGCGGGGTCAGTGGGGACGCAGGGCGGGGTGGGGATCTGGATGGGTGCGATCAGGGTCAGGGTCTGGGTGGGTGGGATCAAGGTCTGGGTCAGCGTCAAGGTGAGGGTCAGGGTCAGGGCTGCACGTGGGGCCTGGCGGGGTCAGTGGGGCGACAGGGCGCCCCGCAGGCAGAGCCCCCAGGGTTAGGAGGGACTGGCCAGCTCCCTGAAGGGTCCCCGGACCCCCAGGGTGCCCAGGCCGCACGGTGAGAACTGCCCTCTGGGGTACAAATTGAATGGTCACCGAGTGCAAAGTCCTGGGGAGAGTGATGAAAGAAATAAAAAATTAGGCCCGATCATCGTGACACTGAAAATGAGAACGTAGGTATGTTCGGTTCAGTATGCAAACTTAAAAAGAGAAATGGACACAGGAGTGCACAGAAAGCTACAAAACAGTAAAAAAACAAACAAACAAACAAAAAACCCTCCAGGTCTCAGGGTGTGTGTGCGGGGTCTACCTTTGAACGACCTTCTCAGCTGTGACCCCACAACCCTGCCATGGCTCTGAGACCACCCTCCCAGGAGCAGACAGGCTGCTGGCGAGTTTGGGGCGCCCAGAGGCCTGTGGGGGCCGGGGGCAGAGGGTGGCAGAGAGGAGGGGCGGCTTGGGGGTCTGTGACCTCGAAGGAAGGGCAGGATGGAGCTATTGGGGAAGTTCCATGTGGAGATGGGACCACAGGCTCCCAGCAGCCCCGGCCAGGAACGGCACCTGGCGGGCAGCTCTCCGGGCCGCACCGGCCAGGCTGACTCTTAAGTGTGCTTCCAGGGCCTGAGACTTCCGAAGCTTCACACCCCTGTCCCTCTCTGTCATTTTAATTTATTGGGTTTGTTTTCTATTTTTTTATTTTTTGGTGTTTCTATTTATTGGCTTTAAAACTCATCATCCAAAGAGAGTGAATACATGACCGTGTGGTAGCAAGAGAAACATAAGACCACAATGACCCACCCACCCCAAACAAAAACAGAATTTTTTTTAATAGCATTCTTTAATGAAGTCTAATTTATATGCAGCAAAGTACACACTGTTCCCGGATGAATATTGCTCTGGAAATGGATATTGTTTTGCATAGGATTCCTGTGTCCTCACTGCCCAGGTAGAGACACCAGGAAGTCTTCCCTCCTCCTTCCCACTGAAGAGCTTCCTGTTCCATCCCCTGTTGCCATAGGTCAGTTTTGTTGGTTCTTGAACTTCATCTACATGGAGACTAAACATGCTACTAAGCAATCAATGGGTCAGAGAAGAAACCAAACAAGAGATCAAAAAGTCCCTCGAGGCAAATGGAAATGAAAATACAGCTTTCCAAAATACATGGAATGCAGCCAAAGCCGTTCTAAGAGGGACATTCGTAGTTCTGCGTGCCTACCTTCAGAAACAAGAAAATTTCAAGTAAACTACCTAACTTTGCAACCTAGGGGAACTAGAAATAGAGCAAACCAAACCTAAAATAAGTAGAAGGAAGGCTCCCCCTCCCCCTCCTCCTCTCCTTCTGCCTCTTCCTCTTCCTTCCACTCTCACTAAAAACCAAAGGAGAAATATCCTTGGGTGAGGAGTAACAACAGCAAAATCTACTACCAAACAAAGCCCTGGGCCAGATGGCTTCAAAGAAGAATTTTACCAAAAATTCAAAGAAGAATTAATACTCACTCTTCTCAAACTATTTTAAAAAAAAAAAAAAAAAAAGTGAAGAAAAGGATTGCTTTTTTCAAACACCTATCTGCCCGCCACGTGTCTCTCCCCCCCCCCCCCCCCCCCCGCCCACCACCACCACCACCACCACCCGGGCTCTGTATGAGCAAGAGGACCTACAGACCTGACACTGACCATGGGGCTGGGGCATTGTCCTGGCCCCATACTTTCTCTCTTTTTTTAAAAAAAATATATTTTTATTGATTTCAGAGAGGAAGGGAGAGGGAGAAAGAGAGATTGAAACATTAATGATGAGAGGGAACCATTGATTGGCTGCCTCCTGGGGACTGAGCCCCACAACTTGTACGTGCCCTTGACTAGAATGGAACCCCGGGGCCCTTCAGTCCGCAGGCTGATACTCTATCCACTGAGCCACACCGGCTAGGGCTTGCCCCATACTTTCTAATCACCCCCTCCTCACTCAAGCCCCTCCCCCAACCCCTCCACAAGCTCACACCGTAAAGAAGAAGGCAGGAGGTGGTGCAGTGGCCAAGCAGTGGGCAGGAGGCTGGTCTGGGCAAGCAGAGCCTCCCCCCGCCGCCCCCCACTGAGGCCCAGGGCCCGGGAGCTCGGTCTGGGAGTTTAAAAGGCTCACATGACGCTCACCTTTGCAGCCATTTCCCCCGGAGACATTACATCGGGGGCTGGGTCCAGAACCACTAGGGGAGCAGTCCTCCCTCCAGAACCAACCTGCTCACTCTCTCCAGCACCGGGCGCTGGGCAGAGAGCAGGGTGCTCAGGGGCTCCCCAGTGGGAGCTGGTTGGGCTCTACCGGGCACAGCTGCCAGGCAGCCGGCACTTCCCTGGTCCGCACCTGCCTGGCCTGGCGGTGTCTGCTTTGCCCGCCCTCCCCGCCACCTGTCCCAGGGCGTGCTGCCTGGTCCTCCAGCCCGGCCCTGGCGCTGGTACTGCCGCTGGCCCTGGCGTGTGGGAAGTCCCCAGTCCCCAGGAGGCAGCCGCCTGAGCCAGGAGGCCAGGAGCAGCTCCTGGAAGATGATCCTGAAGGCTGCCCGTGAGTGCCACCGCCACCACCGAGGAGGAACAGGGCCCCTCCGTTCCCCGTCCGCCCCACCCCAAGAGCCAGAGGGTGGGGCCAGTCCTCTGCTCTCTGACCTGGAACTGGAATGCATGCAGGGAGTGTGTGCCCCAGAGGGAACAGACTGGGGTTCAGAGCAGGCAGCCCTGGGCATTTTCTGGCCCCACTGGGATTCCTGGCAGGGGCACCCGTGAGGGTGATGTGTAGGCTGGATTGGGGGAGCGTGGGCAGGAGCTGGGGTGGGGTCCTTCTGGGGAGAGCAGGTGCCTGAGGGGCGCCCCCAGCCCCGGGCCAGCAGGGGGCTGCCAGCTGGAGGTCAGAGGCACCTGGGGACTTCACCTCGGGCCCCTCTGCTGACCAGGAGACTTCAGCCACGTGTCCAATGCAGGGCCCGCGGCGAGGTGGGTAAGAACGGGGTCCGGCGAGCAGGGGGCGCCCTCTGGCCTGGTTCTGACTGCTGTTCAGAGGCTGGTTTTATGTTTTCCATTTACCAGGCTGCTTCGGTGGCGGGGTGTTTGGGGAGAAGGAATGAAAAAAGCAATTATTCCCAAGGTCGTTTTCTCCCTGAAAGCCTGTCTTTCTGAGGTGGCCTCCGGCCTCTGCCTCTGCGCCTGGGTACCACCCACCCCTGGCACAGGCCTTCGCCCGCTGCTGCTGCTGCTGCTGCTGCTGCTCTCTTCCCATAGCCAGGGAGTCCGGACTCTGCCTGGAGCAGGCAGCGTATCTGGGCAGGCGTGGAAAGAATGGAAAGTTCCCTCGGCCTCTGGGAGGCACCCCCTCCCCCAGTCCTGCTTTCTAAAAGCCTTGGATTGAAGAGCAGTTGTAGGTAACGCCGTGGATTGTGGGACAAACAGGCGGAGACGTGTGCCTTTGGGGGGGAAGAATACACCGCCCTCGGGCGCTGAATCTCAGGGGCGCGATCTTGGAAGGATTTACGGTTCTTCCTCCATCACATACTTAGAACATCGTCTTGCTGCTCCGTTAGGAGACAATGCTGAAGGTGGTCCCAGGGCCTCTTCCAACTCCCCCTCTTCATCCCCCACCTCCTGACTCACTCTGAGCGGTGGGGTTCTGGCACAGCAAGCTTTGCTGCAACTCCTGGTGTCGGTGTGTTTATCTGGAGGGGGGGGGGGGGAGTAACCTGCAGAAACTCAGAGCCGCGTGGCCGCTGAAGGCAGGGCAGGGCTGGCCTTTGCTCCGAGGTGGAAGCCCAGCCGGGGAGCCCTGTCTGACAGCCGGTGATGGCTTTATTGCCTGCGGCAAAGGTCGGGTCCTCGTCAGGGAGTCACCGGAGGCTCTGGACTTTGTGCACTTCCTCCCCCCCTCCCCGGCCCCCCCTCCCATGCAGCTGCTGGACCACTCCCCCTGGGGCAGCCCCCTGGGGCCAGGACCCCCCTTCACTGGCTCCCTGGACTTCCACCTTCCCAAGACCACCCTTACCTGCCCAGGGTCCCGCCTGCTCGGCCATCCCTGCAGAGACTGAGCTCCTGGTGCAGCTGTCAGGCTCAGGGACAGGCTGGGCCCCGGGCAGCTGGGCCCCGGGCAGCCTGGGCCATGGTTCTCCAGGTGCCTCTTGTCCCCCACCTCCTGGCTCCTACGCCTGCCTCCGTTTGGCATCCTGAGTTAGACCCGTGCCAGGGTTGCAGATGGCTCACCCCCAGCCAGTGCCCCATCCTCACTGTGGGACCTGCCCTCCCACATGGGGTGGCTCTGGCTCTGGGTCTTGGCTTCCCCACGGGAAACCAGGCTGCCCCAGCCCTGAGGTTATCCTGGCACCCCTGCCCCAGCCCACAGACACCCCAGCCTTCCGAGGAGCCCGGGAAGTGCACAGGGAGGGAGCTCATCACCGTGCGGGCGGCCAACCCTGGCTGTAGGTTCCGCCGGTGAGGCCTGCGGGCTTTCCTTCATCCTCTGTTTGTTCCCTGTCACTTGCATCCACTGTCCCGGATCAGCCAGTGACACACCGTGTCTTCCTTCCGTGTGGCCGTTCTTTCACATCCGAGCGGCGGCACCGAGTTCCCTCTCAGCTCCTCCAAGCCAAACAGCAGCTCTTTGCTCCAGGACTTCATGTGACCTCTGACTGGCCCCCGGCTGGCCGAGTGCCATCTTCAAACAGGACACTTGGACGAAGTGGTCCAGCTGTGACGTGCTGAGCGGCTGTTTCCGCTGAACCTGACCGTTGAGGCTGACTCCGGGACTCCAGCAGCCACCCCATGCGGCCCCAACAGCACTTTCCGGGATATTCTGTGGCCCATGCACTGTCCTGGGCATGTGGGAACAGTCCTGGAGGGAAGGGGCCGTTGGAGTGCCACATCCACAAGGTGTGCGAATGGCTGTGATGAGGGTGCCGGGCAGGCCACAGGGCTGCACCAGAGTGGGGGCTCATGGCGGTTGGGAGAGCCCGGATGAGGAGGAGCAGGAGGCGGGCCAATGGGTTGGGGTCTGTGCCGGAGTATGTCCTGAAGCCGAGGACAGAGAGGGCCACACGCAGTCCCAGCAGGTCTCCCTGCCTGCCACCGAGCCAGCAGGATTCCAAGAAGGGACCTCCATCCCCAGGGCTCTCCTATGCTCTCTGTGGCTACTCTTTCTGAAAGATGAAACAGAGGGGGCTGGAGACCGGGATGTCAGGACACTGGCTTTATTGAAGAGAAGAATACCACTGCCAGCTGTTTCCAGAGAGAGCGAGCGAGGGCCGGGGTCCATGTGTTTTTAAGGGGAGGATAGGGGATGGGGCTTAGGGCACTCAGCACACGCTGATTGGTGGTTCCATGTAAGGCCTATGACGAGGGACCTAGGGACTTAGGAATCGGGGGCTTAGGGTATTTGGCAGGTGCTGATGGTGGTTCAGAGCTCAGGAATGTCTGGCCGCAGGTGTGCTTTACGTCCATCCATCAACTGGAGGAAGCATCCATCAACTTTCCAGCAGTGAGATGCCCCCAAGCCCTAGAAATGGCAGCAGCCACACAGTCCAGGGAATCACCATCAGGAAGCCCTCCCTGCATAACGTTCTCACCGCCTTGGGGGCTGCGTAGTTTGGAAAAGAGAAAAAGTATTGATGCTGACATGTACACTTGGAAAAAGACCGAATCGTCGAGGGAAGAAGCATCCAGTTCCATGAGCTTCGTTGCTGCCTGAGCTAGTGAGCTCACAAGCGCCTACAGACCCCATCAGACACAGCAGTCGGGGGACCTCTGCCGCGCTCACAGGAAAGGGAGACCCGCGGGTGCAGGAAACGGTGGAGCTGAGGTCCGGGCTGAGCTCGGGCAGAGTGACAGGCGCAGGACTGTGTGTCATCACCACCTGGAGAGGAGGGCGCCTGGGTGGCTTGCCGGCGGATTAGAGGCCTGCTTCTGTCGATGGCCGTGAACTTGGAAAAGGGGGGCCTGGGAGAACTGGCCACCTGTCTCTGCTCAGGGTGCTGGGTGGGGAGACACCCACAATTGTGTCCCCCAATTCAGTGCAGCTCTGACTCTGGCCACCAGCAGTTAGTGCAGACCCTGAGGGTCAAGGGCGCAGCCCCTACAAGCCGCCCTCCCTTCAGCCGCCAGCCAGGAGCCTTGGGGCCGCCCCATCTATGACCAACAACTCATCGAGGCTCCATCATTCGCCAGAATGACTGGCAGAGCTGGCCGGCGGCATGCAGGTGGGACAGTGCACGCGGAACGGAGGACCAGCCCCAGAGAGCTGACGCCTGCCCCATCCGTCCGCTGAGCCGGGCAAGACGGGGCCCACGTCAGGCGGGATGGCTCCCCAGGCCACTTGAGGAATCGATGACGTTAGCATTGGGGGAAGTTCTTAGACCCAGACCAGCAGTGACCAGGAAAGCATGGCCTTGAAAGCATTCATATCTGTTCATGTTGTCTGCTTCTGTCTGCCTCACTGCCGGCCCCCACAGAGCCTACTAAGTCATCACAGCATGTAGGCTCGTTAAGGCAGCCCTGGGCCCTGGTCCGCCCCCAGGAGCGCCCTGCAAACACGCGTGGTTGGTGTGGCGGTGGGGGGCTAGGAGAAGAGGGGGCAGGGCTGCCTGGCAGCTGCTGTCCTGAGCATCCACACCCGCATGTCTGCCCGCAGGCACCCTGAGAGCCATGCTCTTCATCCTCGCCTCCGTGTGCGCCTGGTACTCCGGGTACCTGCTGGCAGAGCTCATCCCGGACGCGCCCCTGTCCAGTGCCATCTACAGCATCCGGAGCCTCGGGGAGAGGCCCGTCCTCAAAGGTCAGTGCCCAGGTCACGGCGCACTCGTAGCTGCAGCCTGGCTCAGAGGTGCCAGCGGTTTCTGGCCATTTTATGTTGGTGACGATGACGGGAAGGGGGGGAGGTAACATCTCCTTCCGTTTCTGCTCCTCTCCAACCCCACGCCCCCCCCCCCCCCCCCCCCCCGCCGCCCCGTGAGAGGCTCCGAGGGAGACAAACTGGAAAACAACTTGACGTGCAGCCATGTTAAGTGAAAATGTGTCTGGAACACAACTCACATCGGGAATGAGGTGAAACGACCAAACAGCCATTAGAAATGGCATTTGGTGATGCGTGGACAGGACTAAGGAATAACCTGTACTTTTTTTTAAAGTTTGTGAGTAGATATGGTGGCATACTTTCATTTATTTTATTTTTAATATATTTTATTGGTTTTTTACAGAGAGGAAGGGAGAGGGATAGAGAGCTAGAAACATCGATGAGAGAGAAACATTGACCAGCTGCCTCTTGCACACCCCCTACTGGGGATGTGCCTGCAACCAAGGTACATGCCCTTGACCAGAATTGAACCCAGGACTTTTCAGTCCTCAGGCCTCTATCCTCTGAGCCAAACCGGTTTCGGCAATATGCTGGTATACTTTCAATACGCGAGCACGTTATTCAAAATCAGTTTGCACAAATACAGAGCACTGAGTCATGATAAATTCTTCTTATAAAAGCCATTCCTTCTCAGATTGAATTATCTTTTATGGCTAAAAACACACAAACAAACAAACGCTTTTCAGGACTCACTGTGACAGGGTCGTTTGAGTTTGATCAGGTTCTCACAGGGACTTGCCCGGAATCAGTAGGCTGACTGCGCACAGCCTGGGGTGGGGCCCAGCTCCACGGAAGCCTTGGTTTGAGCAGAGCCCGGGAGACGCCCTCAGAGGGCTCGCTCTCTCGTTTTCCCACAAAACCAGAAGTCTGTCCTGGACACAGCTTCCCCTAGGAGCTGCCTCTGACCCAGGCGTTTCAGGGGCTCGTTGCCATGGTGTCTATCTCCCTCCATCCCATGCCAAGGATGTCGTTTGGATGGCCAGCCGTGGGCAGTGGTGCCCAACTCTGAAACTCGTTACACCTGCAAAAACCCCCTCCCTTTTGTGTGTTTGGGATTTTAAGACAAAAGCAAATTAAGTTAACTTCGTGTGCTTAGGGGGAATCTCTGAAGCGGCTACTGGTGGCCACCATTCATCTTGGTGGCTCCCTCCCCACTCCTGGTTCTGCCCAAGACCTGGGGCCATGCAGGTGTGGTGTCCCGGGGCAGAGCAGCTGTGCTCACGGCCTCGCGGTGGGCTCCTCCGGGAAATCCTCACGAGACCTGTTACGTTCTTGTTCACTGCAGCCCCAGTCCCCAAGAGGCAAAAATGCGACCACGGGGCCCCATGCCCCTCCAACACCTACGCTTACCGGTTGCTCAGCGGCAGGGGCACGGACAGCTACGCCAAAATCTGCTTCGAAGACGAGCTGTAAGTAGCAGCGTGAGAAAGGAAAACATAGCCACCCGGTCTTCCCCCAGCAGGGAAGGACAAGACCTTGACCCTGGGCAAGGGCAGGGAGCATAGGCGGGGGAGGGGGGTTGAGGATGCCAGTGGTGCTCCCGGGAGGATGTGGATGGAGGCTGTGTCCCAGCGTTGAACTCTCGTCTGGCAGCAGGTCAGTCAGGCCTCAGTTCATACTCCGCAGCCTTCTCTGAATACGTGCCATGGCCCTTCGAAGTCACTAGAAAGGAACGCGGGTTTCCTTCTGTTCTGTTACATGATCCTCACGGGTTGAAGCAGGTGCGGCCTTTCTTCCCAGCCCACACCTCGGCGTCGCAGGTCTGTGTGGCCGCCTTGCCCATGGAGACCCTGAGGAAACGCTGGCCTGGAGCTGTCCTAGGCCCGTGCACAAACAACAGGGTGTGTTCTCTCCTGGTCTGCAGGCTGGCGTCCAGGATGGAGGAGTAGGCAGGGCTGGTTTCTTATGAGGCTGAGGGCGCCCCTGCTCCAGCCCCATCCTGGGCTGTGCGTGCTGGTCTTTTCCCGGGTCTGCATCATCTCCCTCTGTGTGTGTATCTGGGTCCAAATTGCCCCTTTTAAAAAGGACTCTGTTCACACTGGTGCACTGATGTGGGGTGATCGCTATTGCCCTGCAAGAGGCCAGGCTGCTCTCGAGGCTGGCGCCCCTGGCACCTGGCACCGGGCATCCCTCTCTACCACCATCCTGGGATGCTCTTTGCCTCCCTCTCTGGGGTGGCAGCCCCTATTTCCAGGATACAAATCTCACTTTTCTCAGTTTCTTCCCGTGTTTTGCTGGAGCACATCCTCTATTAACATCCCAAGAAAAGGGTAGAAGGAGAGGTAAAATTGTTAAAGATTCTTTGTGTTTAAAATATAGGCATCCCCCTTCACATGGAAGTGATAGTTTGGCTGGGTATGCATTTCTAAATTAGAAATGATCTCTACTTTGAATTTTGAGGTCATTGCCTGGAGCAATGCAGTTCTCAGGTTTCTAGTGGGAGGGGGCCCATTGGCCCACAGGCCCCATTGCTGCATTCTGAAATGTATAGCATGTTTGCTTGAGGCCATGCTTCCACGGGCCACTCCGGTGATTAAGCATTGCCGTTCAATTCCCAGTCAGGGCACATACCCAGGTTGCTGGCTCGGTCCCCAGTGGGTGGTGTGCAGGAGGCAGGGAATTGATGATTCTCTCACATCATTGATGTTTCTCTCTCTCTCGCCCTCTCCCTTCCTCTCTCTGAAATCAATAATAACATCCTACCTAGTATAAGAATAATATGGAAATTGACCACATCTTTGCTACACCCAAGCCACACCCACTGGCCAATCAGGGTGAGTATGCAAATCAACCCAACCAATATGGCGGTTAATTTGCATATCAAGTCAGTGTAGAAGGAAGCCAAACCTGCGGAAGGGAGTGAAGCTTCGAAGAAGCAAGCAGGGTGGCGGAGAAGGGAGGAAAGCAGGTGAGGCAGCTACCGCAGCTGGAAGCCCTATTGCAGGAATTTTCTTGCAACGGGCTACTAGTCCTATATAATAAAAGCTCAGCGACCCAATGGCAGAATGACCAGGTCGACCAGTTGCTATGACACAGACTGACCACCAGGGGGCAGAGGCTCAACGCAGGAGCTGCCCCCTGGTGGTCAGTGCACTCCCACAGTGGGAACTCTGCTCGGTTAATCAGGATGAGCAGTGCTCTCCCAGCAGCTGATCCCCACAGGCCACACCCCCACCAGTGCATGAATCCCGTGCACTAGGCCTCTAGTATTTAAATAAAATATAATATAAAAAGTATTCATGATGCTTGTTGATGATGGAAGGGCAGACTTTATTCAAGGTGGGCCATGGCACCCACTGGAGAGGCCTCTGCAGCGGGGTCTTGCAGTGGGGGAGAGAGGTTGGACTTGACTCTGAACACAGTAAGTGGGAATCCTAGCCAAGGAGTGGGGTTAGGTCAGTGGACAGGAATCCCTAAGAGGAAAGAAGTATCTGGGGTCCAGGGGATTCTGGCTAAACTAATCTAATAGGTTCCTTGCTGACGGTGGGCTGGGAAGATCAGAAACCAGGGCGGGTGGGAAGTGAAGGATGAGGAACCCAATCAATAAGGAAGGTGATCAGAAATCAAAGGCAGGGGGGTTCTAGTTAACCCGACTTAGCAGAATTCTTGCTAACGCTGGACAGTGCAGAGATAAACGTGGTAGTCCAAAAGTTAGGCCTCGGTGGGAAAGAGCCCTGGGAGTCTGGGTAGGGTTCGGTGAAGGAGAGAGTCTGGCGGCACCAGGGGTCCCAGGCGGGCCCATTCCTGGGAGACAGGCTCCAGGGACCCTGGCTTTGCTGAGCCCTCGCAAGACTGCAGGGCAGCCTGGTCCACCCAACTGCTTCCCTCTTTCCTTCACTTCCGGTCGGTCGGACGGACTTGCAATGTGGTCTGACCAGCTCTCTCCAGTCCCCCGGCCCCTCCCCACCTTCCCTCAGAAGCCTTTCCCCCTAAGGAAGGCTCTTGTGCATTTGGTCCTGTTCTGCTCTCCACTTCTCAGAGGACTCAGATTAGTCTTGATGAGCATGACGGTTTGCCAGCCGCTGTCTATCCAAACACGACATGTGGGCAAACACTCTGGCGGTTGCCATTGTGTGAGATGAAACTCGGGTTTCGGGTCAGATTTTTTACTTGGTTATTGCTCTTGCCATGAGTGAATTGAGGGTCTCTTTATGCTGCATCTTTGTATTTACTTTGTTATGAACTATCTTTTCCTATCTCATACTCTGACCTGGGATTGAACTTGAACCTGGGTACATGCTCTGACCAGGAGTTGAACTGGCAAACTTTTGGTGCACAAGATGGTGCTCCAACCAACTGCGCCACACTGGCCAGGGCTGAGCTTCTTAAATATATGTGTATTAGTCTTTCATCACATTTAACCAATTCTCTGTCACTGCATTTTCTGCCCCATTTATTCTTTCCTCTCCTAAGACACTTGATGCAACAGTAGACTTTATTATTATAATCTCAGTAGCCTACAGTCTTTTTTGTATTTTCCATTTTGTATCTCTCTGTCATTCATGTGAACAGAGCTGGTTTCCTCTGAACGGCTTCCCGGTTTACTAATCGTTTCTGCTGTTAAGCCCTTCCATTAGTTACTGAATTTAGTTCTTATGTTATTTTAGTTTTAAAGCCTCATTTGGACTCTTTTCATAATCTTCACATCATGTTTTGTAGTTTCCATTTCTGAAATTTTCAACTTTATTTATCATCGTCTTGGCCATATTAAGTTTAGTTACTTAAAGTCTGTTGGATAATCCTCGTATTTGGAGCCCTGTGAGTCTGAATCCATTATCTATTGTGTTCTGCTATTTCCACCAGCTCTTGTTCTGACGGCTCCTCTCCTCCTGTGCCAGGTCATATTTGAGAGTGTGCCAGGCAGAGCATTTGAGGCAGCAGATGATGATATATATCTTCTTCTTCTAAGAATTTTTGTTGACTTCTGTCAGGGACCGGAACCATTACCGAATAGAATAATGTGAGGAAGTGTTAAGGACTGAGATGTTTTGGGCCACCTAGTGGTCTGCAGTTATACAAGTTCTGATTTATTCCTGGTTCACTCTCACTGTCAGGATTGAACCCTTTTTTACTCCAACCCAAATAAGAAATAGGGGGATTAGCTGAGACCGGTTTGGCTCAGTGGATAGAGCGTCGGCTTGGGAACTGAAGGGTCCCGGGTTCGATTCTGGTCAGGGGCATGTACCTTAGTTGCGGGCATATCCCCAGTAGGGGGTGTGCAAGAGGCAGCTGATCAATGACTCTCTCTCATCGATGTTTCTAACTCTCTATCTCTCTCCCTTCCTCTCTGTACAAAATCAATAAAATATATTTAAAAAAAAAAAGAAAGAAAGAAATAGGGGGATTAATAGGGCCTTTCCTGTGATGGGCCCTGGTTTCCAACGTTTGTCCCCCGAGATGCACATGGCTATCAGAAGTGCTCCCATCTTCTTGGGCACTTTTTCTGGAATCGACAAATGCTTCTGGGATGTAAGTAGCTTCACAGCCTGGGCTCAGCACCTTGAAATTCAGTCTCCCAAATCTTGGCCAGAGAAATTTTTATGAATATAACATATTCAAGCAGGTCATTTTTAAGCCCCTCTCCCCCAACTTTTTTGTTTTGTTTTGTTTTTTCTTATTGGGAGAGTAGGTTTAGATAACCTAACTTTATATTATCATAAACTAGAGGCCTGATGAATTAAATTTGTGCACGGAAGGGAGGGTCCCCCTCAGCCCAGCCTGCACCCTCTCCAATCTGGGACCCCTCAGAGGATGTCCAATCAGGCCTAAACCAGCAGTTGGAATCTCTCTCACAATCCTGGACCACTGGCTTCTAATCGCTCACCTGCCTGCCTGCCTGGTCGCCCCCAACTGCTCCACACTGCTGGCCTGGTCACTCCTAACTGCTCCCCCGCCAGCCTAGTTGCCCCTCACAGCCCCCCTGGTCACCCCACACAGCCTGCTGTTCAGTTGTTTGTTGTCCTTCATTAACCCCCACACCCCCTGCCAGCCTGGTCGTAGGTAGCCATTTGTGAGGGTGTGAGGGTCAATTTGTATATCACCTATTTATTATATAGGATGGAAGGTTCTTTTTGAATCTTTTCCAATTCTTATAGAATATTCTCTGAAACTGTCTAAGAGCTACTATTCCCCAAAGGACTTAGCCTAGAGGCTTCTATGGGAGTTTAGCTAAACACGTCAAAGGCAGAATCTTCCAAACATGGAAAAGGATGCAGCTTCTGCATTGCTGTAGGAAACGAATATACCATTTATTCTACAACTCGACAGAGGATGTACACATACCTACATGAAATTCCAAAGACCTACCATTTCCAGGCAGCATGGTTCAGTGGTTGAGTGTCACTCTATAAAGCAGAAGGTCATGGTTCGATTCCCAGTCAGGGCACATGTCCAGGTTGCGGGCACGATCACCAGTGTTGGGCATGCAGGAGGCAGCCGATCCATGATTCTCTGTCATCATTGATGTTTCTATCTCTCTTTCCCTCTCCCTTTCTCTCTGAAATTAATACAAATATATTTTTTAAATAAATAATAAAAGCAAAGGTTAAGTGAAGCAATATAGGGGCTTACTGAAGGAGGTTACTGGGTTTCAGTTAAAAGGACTCCAAGAGTTGAGGAGACTCTCCGTCATCACACTAAGGGGGAGGATGTGTATAAATTGATACCAGACCTGGGTTAGAGCCATCTCTTATGCCCACCCCTTCTACCTCATTTGAATAAAGCAGAACAATGACTGCTCCTGAGGTGGTTGAGAACTCAGTGGGGGAGGGGGAAAGTTTGTAAAGAGCCTGTGCTACACAAATCTAAGCTTTGCTAAACAAATCTGAAATTGTCCTCTCCCTGGATATTTGTCTAAATTATGAGATTCCGTGTGAGGGACTGAGGCTATGGAACTCGGGGAAGGTGTGTGTGGAGGAGTGCGGGGGTGACTGTGGTGCATGTCAGGGAGGGCTGGAGGGGCGTTAGGTGACAATGGGAGCGGCAGTGACTGCAGGAGAAGATCTTGTCTTGCGGAGGATGGGCGTGAGGGGGCAGGCCTCCCCTGGGCTTGGTAAGAAAGGAGTCCTTTGACTAACGCTTACGTACATTTCAGGCTCATAGGAAAAAAGGTTGGAAATGTTGGGAGAGGAATCAACATCGCCATTGTCGACTGTGAGTCATTAAATCTTTTCTCTAAAACTTTCCTAAGGGCTCTGTGATGGGATTTTTCCCAGGTACCTTGGGTTCTCGATGGTTTTTGCACTTAGCCTTGTCTAGGTTTATATTTGAATGCATTTTTTAAAGAACATATTTAACTATTTTTACGCCTTACTTGGCAGATGATTTGTAGTTCCAAAGAAAACACAATGAAACCAAACATAGATTTTTTTATTTTTATTTATTTATTTATTTTTAACAAAACCAGGAGGACGGGCAGAGACAGAGGTGGGGTGAGGCCCAAGGAGCAGGCCTGGGCCTCACTTTTGCTGTCAGATTCCCGGGACCGTGGCAGGGCCGCCAGTTCCTGGGAGTCAAGGGCCTCAAGGAAAGCCAATCCTGGCCTCCCCTCAGACCTGGGAGAGGCAATCGCCACTGGGGACCCTGAGGATAGCGGATTTGGGGTGTCCCTGGAAGCCAGCTGGGCACATGGCCCAGTGAACTCAGGACAGAAGGTGCCCAGCGTGATGATGGGGGGTGTGGGTGGGGGGTGAGTCTGCAGCTCACAGCAGAACGCCCTGAGGCGGGTACGCGGGGGTCTCTGGGGGAAGAGGAAGGTGCGACAGGAAAGTGTAGGATGCATCTCGTGGGAAGCAGCCGGGAGGAAGCCCAGGACAGCGGAGGAGCCCTCTCTGACCCGCCCGCCTCGGCAACATGGGGCAGGCAGCAGCGCATCTTCGGGCTCCGGGAAAGAGACAGGGAGGGAACAGGCCACGCCGAGACCCTGGTGCCAGGAGGCACCCTGAGTCCTGAGGAGCTTCCTGTTAAAAGCTGTTCCTTTTCTCCTCAGACGTGACCGGGAAAGCGGTAGCAGCGCGGCATTTTGATGTGCATGAAGGAGGTAAGAAAACCCTTCTCCTGTACAAATCTAAATGCGTTATAAACAGAAGTCAAGTTCTACCAGTAAAAACCACAAGCAAAATGCAGGACATTCTTAATTGTCTGTGGGAACTTCATGCTGAGTGTTCTAGAACCCTCGTCCCTCCGTAAGTCCTCTTAGGTTCTGGGTTCATACAATCCAGCGTGAAGGCACTCTCTAGAACATTCCTTTCCCCTGGTCACTCTTGTCTTGAATCTTCTCCTTCCCTCCCCTCATTGGAGAACAGGAAGAGACAGTTTCAAACCAAACCCGTGTAAAGTAACACCATCAGCATCCAGCCCGCATACCCTCAGGGTTTCTGTCCTGAGCCTGGGGCCCGAGGGGGCTGCTGTGCTCCCTCCCAGGCCCTTGACCCCCACCCTCCTTCAGCGTCTCTCCAGCTGGGCACTGGGTCCTGGGCACGGTGCCTGCCAGGCTAGGCCAGCCCTGGGGGCTGGGAGCAGGTCTCTGTAAGCCGATGCAGAGGCGTGAGAAATACCGGTGCCTCTTCTGGGAATTGTGCCTGTTCACTCAGCAGCTAACTGCCCCACAGCTACCAGCACCGAGCCCCGGGGGTACCGAGCAGGGTCAGAGGCCCGCGTTCCTTTATCCTGGGAAACGCAGGCAGCCCCCTTAGCAAGGACTTCCCCAGACAAGGCCAGGCCTGCATCCCTGTCTCTGTCCTGCCCATCTGCCTGAGCTGCTCGGATCTAGGATGCTCACCCGTGGACGGGGCTGCCTTCCTCATTGCAGAGTGTGCACCGCCCAGGCCACCGAAGTGGCTGCAGGTGTTGAGTTTGGTCAGTAGCATCTTCCTGGTCCGATCGTGCTCTGCCCTCGACGGCCCCACGCGGAAGCCCAGCAGCTGTGCGGGGCCATATGCATGGTCCAGGGAGGAGCTCCAGGAATCAGGATGCTCAGTGGCTACAGACACCCAGAACAGGGAGGTGCAGCACGTAGGGCAGGAGCCTCAGCTAACGGCGCTCCTGAAACTGGTTTGCATTGACCCTGCAGGTAACTCCGGAGCCATGGCCCAGTTCATCCGGGGCGCGCCCGCGAAGTCCCTGATCTTCATGGTGACCCAGGAGGACGGCAGCGCCCAGTGAGCATGCGTGGGGTCGCCCAGCGGGGACTGGAAACCTGACACACGCAGCCAGCTGGGGTGCCCGGTCCTCTTGCTTACCAAGCCCCCTTCCCACCCCATCCCACCCCTGGCCCAGGAGCTGAGGGGCTTTGGAGACCTCTGTGCGGGGACAAGCACAGGGGACACACGCGAGTCCCCCCGGGGGACACTCAGTCGCTCTCCTCTGCCCCCTAGCCTGCAGGAGGACGCCAAGGAGGCCATAGGAGCGCTTGGAAGCAAAGAGATCAGGAGCTTACGGCTCAGGTCCAGCTGGGCCTTTCTCACAGCCAAGGGCTTTGAACTTCCCGCGGGACTCCAGAGAGAGGAGGTGAGTGTCTGTCGTCCTTGTGTTTGAAAGTTCAGTTCGCTGGTATTCTGTGTGACATTAGTCTCAGGTGTACAGTACAGGGCTGCAGCCTCTGTACACCGAACCACGTGCTCACCACGCCGAGTCTAGTGGCCGTCCGTCACCATGCCAACGGGCCACAGGGTGAGTGGTTCTGAAAGGTCCCTGCCCGCAGGTGGTGAGGACGGCAGGATCTGCGATTGGAGAGGTTGCCAGCCGGTGACAGCTCCCTGTCTCTAACCCCGGCCCTGCGGGGAGTGCGTGCCGCCAGGGCCGTGCTGGGGTGGGCATCTGGGCTGAGCGCTGTCTCTCCGCTCCGGGTTCCTTGTTCCTCCGTCTGGGAAAATTCAGCCTTCCACTCCGGAGGCGCTGGGTGTGTCGTGGGTGAAACCGTCCACGCTGAGACCAAAACCCTTTCCCTTTAGAGCAGCTTTAGATGGGCACTGAAGTTTCAATTCTTAAATCTCTTTAAAAGTAGGAAATTCGCCCCAACCGGTTTGGCTCAGTGGATAGAGCGTCAGCCTGTGGACTCAAGAGTCCCAGGTTCGATTCCAATCAAGGGTGTGTACCGTGGTTGTGGGCACATCCCCAGTGGGGGGTATGCAGGAGGCAGCTGATGGATGTTTCTCTCCCATCAATGTTTCTAATTCTCTATCCCTCTCCCTTCCTCTCTGTAGAAAATCAATAACATATATATATTTTAAATATACACACACACACACACACACACACACACACCGTATTTTCCGGCGTATAAGACGACTTTTGAAACAAAAAAAAGCCTGCTCAGATTGGCCAGAGTCAGAGAGGCAGTCTATTAAAAAAAGAACTGGTGTTGCCTCGGAAGTGGGGGGCAGTCTTATACAGCAAATCTAGACCTAAACCTATGTTTTAACTGTAAAATTAGGGGTCGTCTTATACACCAGAAAATACAGGGGGTGTGTGTGTGTGTGTGTATAGATAGATAGATAGATAGATAGATAGATAGATAGATATAGAGATAGAGAGATAGAGATAGAGATAGAGATAGAGATAGAGATAGAGATAGAGATAGAGATAGAGATAGAGATAGAGATAGAGATATATAGATATATATATTTTTTTTAAGTAGGAAATTCTCATGCTAGCCAGTTTGGCTCAGTGGACAGAATGTTGGCCTGCAGACCAAAGGGTCTCGGGTTCGATTCCAGCCAAGGGCACGTACCTTGGTTGCAGGCTCCTCCCCTGGTCAGGGCCTGTGCAGGAGACAATCAATGGATGTGTTTCTCTCACATCGATATTTCGCTCTGCCTTTCCCTCTCTCTCCCACTCTCCCTAAAAATCAATGGAAAGATACCCTCCAGTGAGAATGAACAAAACAAAAGAGTAGAAAATTCTCAGTGGGCTGTTGAGACTGATTCTGCGTCATGCTGGAGCCAACACAGGCCTCTCTGCTGTGCCTCCGTGTGGGGAAGGGCACGGTGCTCCCTGCTAATGGGCTCAGAGGCCATCGCGCCTGTGCCCCGAAGCATTTAAAGTAGCAGAGCACCAGCTCTAGCTGGTGTGGCTCACCGGGTAGAGTGTCCGCCCTTAGACTAAAAGATCCTGGGTTCGAGTCTAATACCTCGGGAGAGGGGCTTAGTGTCCAGGGTCAGGTTTGCGGAGGGGGTGGGAGGCCACAGGTGATGCTGAACAAGCCGCCTCGCCGCTCTGGGCTTGAGTTTTCGGATCTGTGTAAGGAAAGGAAAGCTGGGGAGATCCAGCTGTGATGAGGACCCGGGCTCCATCTGCCCTTGGCCTTCCTCAGGCTGCCTCTGTGAAGTGATAGATACAGGGCCACCGGCTTCTCCACCCCTGGCATGATCAGAATCTTACGGACCTCCAGGCTTTATCTACCTGCTGTGTGGTCTTAGGCAAGTTGCTTAGCCTCTCTGTGCCTCAGCACCATCCCCCGTGGGAAAGGGATAAGGACAGCCTCTATCCTATGAGATAGGATGAAGTGAGAGCCCATGTGGGGCTCAGCAAGAAACTGAGCAAAGGAGCGCCCAGTACCCCAGAGCAACCGGGCCTTCCAGAACTTCCCGGCTCCTTCCAACTGGCCCGCCCCACCTGCCCTTCCCCACCTAAGCCTCCTGAACTGGAAGCCAAGCGGCAGGGCCTGGCAGGGGTGTTCGGAGGCCCAGTTTCGTGGGCACATTCAAATCCCCCCTCACAGCCCAGCCGGCTTTCTTACAGAAATTGACAAGTGGGTCCTGAAATTCAGACGGAAATTCCAGAGATCCAGGTAGCCCAAGCAATCCTGAGGAAGGAGAACTGGTTGAGGACTCACAGGTCCCAATTTCAGAACTCACTACAAAGCCGCAGTAACCAATACGGCGTGGTGCTGGCACTCAGCACACACACGCACCCGGGAACAGAACCCGTCGTCTGGAAATGAGACCTCACTGTTTTGGTCAATGATTTTCGACAAGGGAGCCGGGACCACTGCGTGGGGCATGGTGATGAGACAGCTGGACACTCCCCTGCAAAAAAAAAAAAAAAAAAAGAATTGGAGTCCTACCTCACACCATATGTGGAAATTAAGTCAGGATGGTCAAATGACTAAATGCAGGAGCTACAGCCATTAAACCTATAGAAGAAAATGTAGCCATAAATCTTTATGGCCTTGGGTTGGGCAATGGTTTCTTAGCTACAACACCAAAAGCATGAACAGCAAAAAAAGAAAAAAGAAATAAATGGCATTTCATTAAAACTTTGGTGCATCAACAGTCACCACACACGCACAAACACACACACACACACACACACACACACACACACACACAAAACCCAATGAAAAGTAAGGAAATAAATTACAAATAAAGGACTTATACCCACAATGTATAAAGAACTCTTATGGCTCAATAATAAAAAGATAAATAATCCAATTTTATAAAGTGGGCAGAGATCTGAATGAGCCTGTCTTCAGGGGCCAATAAACACACAAGCAGATGCTTATAACCACCAGGAAAATGCAAACGAAAGCCTCAATGAGATACCACCTCACCCTCACTAAGAGGGCTGCATTAAAAAGAAAAAAATCGGAAGTGTTAACAAGGATGCGGAGAATTGAAAACCTTCAGACACTCAGAAAAAAATCTAATAATACAGCTGCCTTGGGAAATATTCTGGCTGTTCCTCAAAAAATTAAGCATATAGTTACCATGTGACCTAACATCTCATTCCTAGATATACTGTATACCCAAGAGGGGGAAAACATGTTCACACAAAAGCTTGTACATCAATGTGCATAGCAGCCTTATTCGTAAAAAACAAAAAAGTGGAAACAACCCACATGTCTAATGAATATATAAAAATACATTTTTAAAAATGGGGCATAGCCATACCTGGAATATTATTCAGCCATGTAAAGAAACGAAGTACTGATACATGCTACAACATGGATGGACCTTGGAAACATGTTAAGCAAAGAAAACCAAACACAAAAGACCACATCCTGCTCATTTCATTCATATGAAATTTCTGGAACAGACAAAACCCATAGAGACAGAAAGCAGACTGGTGAGCGCTGAGGGCTGTGGGGTACGGGGAATGACTGTGTATGGGTCCTTTTTCAAGTGAGGAAAATACTCTAAAATCAACTACGTGGTTGCGTATCTGTGAATATACTAATAGCCATTGATGCAAACACTTTGGCTGTATTTGATAGTATGCGAATTATATCTCAAAGAGGTTAAGTAAAAAAATAGATAGATAATTAGAATTCCAACATTTAGAATGCATAGTCTTCCTCTTAAGCTTACATTAAGGCACTCCATTGTCTGCGAAAGAATCCTATATGATAAAAGCATAGTATGCAAACTGTCCCCTTGACCAGGGGTTGTCCTGGAGTTAGACCAGGGGGCAGGGCCCGCAGGGGAAAGGGAGGGAGGCCCCAGCTGGCAGCCGGCAGCCAGCAGCCTCAAGGGACTCAACCAATGCATGAATTTTGTGCACTGGCGCTCTAGGAGATATAAAGGATTAACACCACATCAATAGGAACACACATGTGCTGAGCTAGGAATTCTGTAATAACATATAGTCCTACCCCCAAAGAATGAAAACTAAATGTTAGAGCTATGCTGTTCAATACAGCAGCTATGAACCAAATTTGCATTTCACTTATTACATTTATTACATTTTATTAAATTTGCATCATACTTATTAAAATTAAATAGAACTTAGAATTCAGTTCCTCACTCACCCTAGGTACTTGATAGCCAAGTATGGCTAGTGGATACTCTATTGGACAGGGTTGGTCACAGCACATTTACATCCTTGCGGAAAGTTCTGGAGCTTCATTAACACCAGGGTCACATTGTATTAGGAAGCAGGTTGAGAGGAAAAATAAAGTACCCAGAGTGGGTTGGGGCAAAATCCGTTCTAGGAAGTGACTAATCCTAGAATGGAACATTTCAGTTGTAGGACTTTGCTCATAGAGGATACATTCAATATTTGTGGATTAGCAAATAAACACAATTCTTTTCTTTCCTCTGCCCAGGTCAGCCACATGGATGATGCAAAGGACAGTGTCTCAGGCTGGCCTGCAGAAGTTCAGATAGAAGGCTGTGTACCAAAGGAGCCAAGCTGACACTGTGCAGATTTAATAAATGTGTGTGTTTCTATAGACAAATGAATCAGGAAATGGCCCATGAGTCTTACTCAACAGTCAATATTTGATTATATGGGTCTTGTCGCCAACCAACCAATATTTGCTGATTGCATGAAATCTTGGCATACAGTATTTTTATTTATTGCCAGTATTGAAACAGCAAAAACATAAGGAGCAGGAAGACTGGAATGAGTGGAAATTGTTTAAAGAAGGGGCTTCACCCGGAGCGGAGAGCGTTGGGGAAAGTGACCACTGCTTGTGAGTGTGTGTGCAGTTATTTTATGATCAGATTGGAGCTTGGCCTTGATTCCATGACCCTGAGGGACAAGTCTTGATTCCATGACCCTCTTAGGGGCCAGTCATCTCCTCGGAGAAGGAGCAACGGTCAGAGGGCCTGGCAGGGCTGCCCTGGTCGGCGCCAGTTGAGCCCTTGAACTCTCCCTGCGGGTCCCTGAGCTTACTCTTCCCTTAGCAAACCTGGGCGCCCCCTGCCTTCGGCCACTGGATGTGCAGGGACACAGCCTCTGCCTTCCTGCGGGGTGTCACTGCCAGAGCTCCATGGAGGTCTGGCCTCAGGAGGACAACTGTCCACGCAGGGCCTTCCAGAAGGTTCATCGAGACCCGTGTATCCGAGATACACACGCTCTGAGAAGCGAGTCCGATGATGCATCCGACTTGGGGTTCAGACCATCGGGTCAAGGCCCAACGCTCATTCTCACCGTCTTTCCAAGCCCGGCTCCCAGCAAAGCACTCTGGTGCCAGGTTAATGTAGCTTCTCTGAGCCCCTAGTTTCTCGCGTGTAAGATGGAAGAATTAGGGTAGAAGAATGAGTCTGAGCATGTTTATCAGCAGCAACCCTTTTAAAAACATGGTAGCACATGGCACCCTGCATGTCAGCATCCTGGCCACAGCAAACCACCCAACCTCAATGGCTTACAGGGCACTGATTTCCCCCTCCAGTAGATTATACCTGGGCCGCGGGGCAGCTGCGGCTGGGCCCTGAGCACTCAGCCAGCCGGAGGGGGTCCTGTCAGGCACAGAAGCCAGAGTGCAGGACGCGCATGCCCAGGGCTCCTGCCAGGGCTCCGTGTGAGCCCCAGCTCCTCCCACCTGTTGCCAGGCCCAGCCCAGGGCGTGTCCACAGTGTGGCAGTGGGTGCGCTGAATATCTGCTGCAGGAATACAATGCCTGTGAGTGTTTTGTTGTTTTGTTGTGTTTTGTTTTACTTTCCTTCGCGTTCATTTGATGCTGCATTTACTCCCGGGCCATCGGTTTTTCTTCAATCTCTCTCAGGGCATCTTTTTCTGCTCTGCAACCTCCTCGGCTACAGGAACACCTGCTGTTTCTCAGTGGGCGGCAGGGGGAGCTCCTGTGATCAGATCAGAGCTTGGGAGGTGGAACTCTGTTCCCCCGGATGTGCTCAGTGGCATCTAAACCCTCAGGTGCAGCACTGCTCTTCGCGTCGTTCAGCTCATGCAGCAAACATTCGGCGCCCCTTCTGGGCCCCCGACACTGTCCCCTGTCCCGCCCCACTGTCTGGCCTGGGCACACCCACCAGCTCCACTGTCATCACGACAGAATGGCAGCCATTGCTTCCGAAAAGGAACATCCTTCGGAGACTCGGTGGCTCTCGGATAGGCACACCCTGATGGCCTGGCCCAGTGGTCGGCAAACTCCTTAGTCCACAGAGCCAAATATCAACAGGACAACGATTGACATTTCTTTGGAGAGCCAAATATTTTAAACTTAAACTTCTTCCAACGCCACTTCTTCAACATAGACTCGCCCAGGCCGAAGCATTTTGTGGAAGAGCCACACTCAAGGGGCCCAAGAGACGCATGTGGCTCGAGAGCCGCAGTTTGCTGACCACGGGCCTCGCCAGCTTCACCAGCGTTCTCCCAGTGAACGTGAGGATCTGGGCCTCTGGGTCTGCAGGGGTTTGTGGGGTTTTCATTTGTACAGGTCTCCCGGCCATTCGGGAAGAGCAAGAATAATTGCACAAAACTTTGGCACACAGTGTTTTCATGCCAATATTTATACAGCAAAACATTAAGGAGTAGGAAGACTGGAATGAATGGAAATTGTTTAAGGAAGGGGTTTCGCCTGGAGCGGAAGTGACCACTGCGTGTGAGTGTGTGCAGTTATTTTATGATCCGATGGAAGCTTGACCCTGTGGTCAGCTCTGCAGAGAGGAAGCCTTGATTCCATGACCATGGAGCTCACCCTCTTATGGGACAGTCGAGGAAGGGGCTGCTGGCTGCCGAGCCTGGGCAGTGGGCCCTCAGAGGCTGGGCCCCTCCTCGCAGTCCAATGTCTGGGACCCTGGCTCAGGCTCCAGGTGAATTACATTGTGTTGCCCCAGAATCCTAACCCCCGGCACCTCCAAATGTGACCTTACTCAGAAATAAGGTCATTGCATTGTGATGAGTGAGAGGAGGGTGGCCCCTGGGCCAATATCCTTAGTGTCCTCCTTAGTAAAAAGGGACACTTGGACACCGATACAGGGGCAAGGCCACAGGAAAGTGAAGGCAGAGATGGGGAGGTGCTTAGACAGCCAGGGAACCCAAAGACGGCCAGCAGCCAGCAGGCGCTGGGGGAGGGTGGGCCTCTGTTGCCCTGGAGCCTCCAGAGGGAGCCCGGCCCTGCACATGCCTGCGTCTTAGACCTCTGGCCTTAAAGCCAGAGGATAAATGTCCGCTGGCTGTCTCCGCCGCTCAGATTCTGGCGCTTTCACAGCAGTCAGGACACTAGGTCGTTTTCTTTACGTTGTAAACTCTTTAAAATATATATATATATATTATTGATTTTTTACAGAGGGGAAGGGAGAGGAAGAGAGAGTTAGAAACATCTATGAGAGAGAAACATGGATCAGCTGCCTCCTGTACACCCCCCACTGGAGGTGTGCCCGCAACCAAGGTACATGCCCTTGATTGGAATTGAACTTGGGACCCTTCAGTCCACAGGCTGATGCTGTATCCACTGAGCCAAACTGGTCAGGGCCAACGATGTAAACTCTTAAATGCACAAAGGATTCCTGTATTTAAAATAAAGGGGCGGGGGGGGGGGGAGGCTGGATCTTTTTATTTTCTCCCATTGAAATGACCACACTTTCTCGGCAGTGTTGTCTGAATTCACTGTGAATTCACTTCCAGCCAGCCTGCCCAGACTCCTGCCGGGGCTGGGCCTTTCTGTGACACCTGGTCCCATCCTGCGACAGCCCTGGGCGCCTGCGCCTCCACGGCCACTGCCCCTCTCCCTGGTGCGACCCCTAACACCCTGGCCCCCGATGTGGGCACCCGGCTCTGAGTGGCAGGCCCTGCTTCCCACCTCCCTGGGCTCTGGGCTCTGGGACTGTCGTTCCTGGGCCCGGCACTAGGGGGAGCTCTGCACAAGGCCACCTGCTGCTCAGTTGGAGCTTAGAACACAGCAAACAATAGAGCCGGTCTTGGCTTGGCGACCCTTCTTTGCCAGGTTTGCGCCTCTTACTTCAGTGTTCCTTGTATTCCATTAAGCACACGTGATCAGGAGGATAGCCTCCACAACGTGACCGGTTTTGAGAGTTCTCGGCTGCGTTGCCGGCCTGTGGTTCAGATGCTGTTCCCACTACTGCTTTCTGCAGGTGGCCTCTGACATTCCTGAACACAGCAGGGGACATTCGGCCGCATCACCCCTGCTGGGGCCTCTGCCTTCAGAGCCTGGGAACCCCTGACGGGGTGAGGGTGATCCCCCAGTTCCGCTCTGGGCCCGCCCCTTGCTGGAAAGCCCTCTAGGCAGGAGTCAGGGGTGGGAAACAATCTGCTTTCTGGGCTCCGGGACCCCTGAGTCACCCACCGGATGGACGGCCTGAGGTCCTGGGAGGCTGGCGCTGCACAGAGCAGGCGTGGGGGGGGGGGGGCAGGGTGGAGGGGACGGGAAGCAACAGCGACCTTCAGGGCAGTGAAACTACTTCGGATGATGCTGTGATAGTGGCCACATGTTTTCACTTAAAAAAAAAAATGTTGACTAATTTTTAGAGAGAGAGAAAGGGAAAGGGATGGAGAGATAGGGCGATGATGAGAAACATCGATCCTCTGCCTCCCGCACGCCCCTCCTGGGGATTGAGCCCTGACGGGAAATCGAACCCGTGATGTCTTGCTGCCTGGGTCAACACTCGACTGCTGAGTCACGCCAGCGGGCGGGGGCCACATGTTTTTGCAAACTGGGTTTCTGGGCAATGGTGATGAGTCACTGAGGATCCTGGGATGTGGCGAGCATCCTGCCCCTGGCGCCCGTCCCGGGGCTGCTGACAGAGGGGCAGGGCTGTAAGGGAAATCTCTGTGCCTTCTGCTCAGTTTTGCAGCGACCTAAAGGGACCTAAAAAATAAAGTCTGTTATAAGAGGAAACATACTGCCAGGAGAACGAGACTTAGATGGGTGGCAAGCCCGAGTCCCCCACCCCAGGGCAGGCAGAGCTGGGGAGGCCTCCCCCGCACCATGGCTGCAGACCCCTCCTCGTGGGGGTTCAAGGGAGAGCACGGGGTGGGGAGGGGGGACCTGCTTCCACAGAGGAGGGCCCAGGCCTGGGAAGACAGGCATCTCCCCATCCCTCTCGGTGCTTCTGTCACCAAGATCCCTGGACGGTGGGCACCACGACATTGATAGCAGAGCTTGCTCTTGGCTGAGGAAAGGGGGCCACCAGCCGAGACACCGCCACCCGAGTGGGCCCTTGTCTCACTGTAGCCAAAGGCACGGGCACTGCCACCCCCCAAGCCAGTATCCGGTGGGCACCATCCAGGAGGGCTGAGGAGACCTTGCCAGCCGTGATGGCCGTGGTGACTGACCCCACTGGAGCAGGTGGCAGAGAGCGAGGGGTCAGTGAGCGTGGACCCCAGCGTGTCCTCTCTGCCACTGTGCCCAGCCGGAGCACACACCCACCGCTAAGATCTTTCGCCCCCACAAGACTCCAGGTCCCCTCCGCCCCGTTCACCCAGGACATGTTA